GATAAAATAAGTGTTTATTTGCATTAAATTGAAAAAGATATATAAACTATTACTTACTGGTTCTTTAAAGACCTTTGACTGGGTGTGGTGCCCCTTTTTAGATTATCTCCTGGATAACTCTCTTGACTCTTAAGCTGAGCAATAATATATGAATATCTATATTTATTATTCATTTTATTTTACTTATTAATTATGTTTATTTCGTTTTTTTTCAATGGAAGGTTTTAGGCTGTTAAGGGAGGGAAATGTTTATTTAGAGTAATCGAAGATAACAACAAGATGGAAGGATATTTATAAAATAAAATGTTGTAATTGTGTTCCATGAAGAAAACCTAATAAAAGGAATTTGAAAAAATAAAAACGTCTGAATTAGCTACAAAATAAAATTAAGAGACATTTCCCTGATTCAATTAATCAACAAGACCATTAAACTAAGTATATTACTTATTGAAGTTCCCTAAAAACTACTAATAAACACAAGAACCCACCTACACGTCCTGCTTAATTGCTTCATGTAAACACAATCCATCTGGAAACTTTCTGTAATTTTGGTTTAAAAGCACAAGTGTGTATGCGTATGCGTATAGTACATCTGTATCCCCATACACCTTCATAGACGCGCTCTACGGCACTAATGCAGACACATCTGGTATCCAGCTATATCCTCCTGTTTGTTGCCCGCCCGTCCATCTGTCTACACTTTTTCCAGTACGTGCTTGAGTGGGCACAGTGTTTTCTTGTCTGAGTGTCTTCGGGGGGTAAGGAACAGCAGGCTGTACACAACACAAACAGTTTACTCGTTCCCTCAACAAGGTGAGTAATGTTAAAGCCGAGGCCCGAGGCTCATGCCGTCCTCTGGTGAGTCAGCTGTTGATGTGGAAAGGGCATTTTCTCACATGTTTCTGCTTCTGCTTGATGTTCGCATTAGTCAGCCATCACTGAACTGCACATCACTTGGTGAACAACAAATCTTTATAAACTGAAGATGTTACTCCTGTTTCGGAAACTTTCTCTGAATGACCTGAAAAATCAGCACTTGTGAGGCTAGGTAAAACTGTTTGCCAAGCTTACGATTACATTACATATTTGGAATTACCAATAAAATTAAGCAACAACTGTCTCAGAAGTTTTGTTTCTAAATGTCGGAATCAAACAACAGCAGCCTATTTTTAGACTGCCCAAGTTAATTCGCATGTGCACTTGAAAGGAATGAGATCACGACACCAACCTTATTTATGGCTGTGTTACACAATCATCCTCCGAATAATGCTTCGTCAGATCGCACTGTTCTTTAGAAGTAATCCACAACTTGGTGAGGATGGCGAATCTCCTCCAGAAATGACAGTGACTCTTTGTTGACAAGTTTGTGTGCATTTAAGTAGTTCATGGTTTCTGCAGGTTTCACAGAGTTAAATTTAAGACTTTAAGACCATTATGAATGGAATTTTAGGCCCATTAAAGGCTAAAGGCTAAGGCATTTTTCAAATGGCCCAAATGGAAAAAATTTTTATTTGCCCTATTAAAAATATATATAATGATGGCCAGTCCGCCCCTGTGTTCGGGGATGGGGCGAGACATGATGATTGGCGTGTCTGTGAACGTGGTGTAACTGAGAACATAATTGGCTTAGATTGAGTAAACTTCCATCATTGGCCAATCAGAGGCAGAGTAGGAGAGGTGTTAACACAAGCACATGCAAAGTCAATGGCACACACCAATGACCAGAAGTCAGAACAATGGCAAATCCAACAAATACAAAGGTAGACTTTACAAACTGGAAATAAAACACTACTTTCCCCTCATTGAGGTGAAAGGCAAGAATGTTTATGTATCGTGCAACTTATGCTCAGAAAAAAAAAAACTCTCTCTGCTGCGTCGCTGACAAGTAATTCTAATCTAATGAAGCACATCACATCGTCACACGCCGCCACAAAATTAGTGGCTACACAGGTGATAACGTGAGCTGCTCTGCTACCAGAAGAGGAGATGAAGCCACGACGTCAAAGCAAATACATCTTTTTTTTCCCACCACAAAAACATGTATTACTCAGACAGAATTAAACAAAATAATTTTGAGAAACATAGTTGAGGACATGATGCCGATGGCTCTCACATTGTCCTACAACAACATTAAAATAGTGTAGATTAGTGTACAACATTTTAGATTCATTTTATAGTCATTTGACGAATCAGATTTTAAAAAACATAATAGTTATTTTCTCTGGTAATTAATTACTTTTAAAATGATGCAACTATTTATCCTATTTGTAAAAAGTAACTATAACTAATTACTCTTTTTAAAGAAATGTGCCCAACACTGTTGTCAAGTTCTTGATTTTCTGCTTTTTTTTTTTTTTAATGGAAAGCTACACTGCAGATCTGTGCTTAAAAGCATCCAACATTGGATGACTTTCATCCCAAGTGAACATTACAAGAACAGAATACAGATTTTGGCCTGTAGGATCAGATAAGTCTGGGATGGTCCAACTGTGTTCATCCAACTCAAAAGATCAAAAACGTACTTTCATCTGTGTTTGGGGCTGTAACTGTTAAGTACTACTTTTATCAGTTCAAAACAAAAGGATGTTCAAGAGTTCACACATTCATATTGCATGATAATAATAGCAAGTTTGGCATGCTGTCCCGGGAGAGAACCCTGAGCTCGGAGATAATTGAGCCTAAGGATCCCGCCGGTCATTTAGCATGTAAGGGGGTACAAGATCAGGTAGCTCTCAAGAACTCCCCCTTGTAAAAAGAAGTGGGGTGAACGGGGATTCTTCAAAAAACAAAGATAAGGGAGTGAAGTTGCAGTCACGCTGCACTTTTCTCCGTAAAGACTTCCATTCATACACAAACGAATGCGTCAGACTGGAAATGAAAGTTTGTGCGACAAGTTTCACAGTTTGCAGTGTTGGAAAGTTCAAGCTTGATGAACTCTGACCTGAAAATCGCATTGACTGCGTGAGACCAATCGAGGATCAAAACATGACCTCTCTGTACAGTAGTTTAAAACATAGACCAATCACTCCCTCTTTTGAATGTCTAATCATCTTGTTTAATTCCACAGCTTTAAGCTGTGGTCACACCGCACTTTTCTTGCCATCATAACTTCCGATCACTTTTCTTGCCATCAGACTTCCAATCATAAACACGTGACTGCGTCAGACCAGAAACACAAGCTCGTGCATCAAATTTTGCACACGCTGCGTTGCAAAGTTCAAGCTTGATGAACTCTGACCTACGAAATCGCATCACTTGACTGCGTGAGACCAATCGAGGATCAAAACATGACCTCTCTGTACAGAAGTTTAAAATATGGACCAATCATTCGCTTTTTTAAACATCTAATCATCTTGCTTAGTCCCGCCACTCTTAGCAGTGCCGTACGACAGGATTTCGCAAGCTCAAAGTCTAGTGTGACCGCAGCTTTAAGCTGGCTATTTATAGTGAGTTTGGAATAATCTGATTGGTTTACTAATGATTACAGATGAGAGACCAGCTGCGATCAATCATATCATGTGCTCCTCTCGATATCAGTTTGTGAAACTAAACATATTTGAAAAGTTGTAACAATCCAGACAAAATATTTAAATTGAGATTACCTGTGAACATCAAGGTTGCTTTTCTCTAAAGCTGCTCCAAACTGTTTCCTTGAACATGATGATCTTTGAGAGAAGATAAATACATATTAATTGTTGTTTTATATATATATATATATATATATATATATATATATATATATATATATGTGTGTGTGTGTGTGTGTGTGTGTGTGTGTGTGTGTGTGTGTGTGTGTGTGTGTGTGTGTGTGTGTGTGTGTGTGTGTGTGTATCAGAACTTAAGTATTTTCTTACACAATTACAAGTACATGTCAATCTATGCACATACATTACACAAACACATAACAAAAATCACGAGGTCTCGACTTGCTTTGTTTTGGTATATTAATATATACCATGACTTAGCATGATAATGCGTTTTCGTATCTTCAATAGCACAAAAAAACATGCCATCAGCATGCTATATTTTTCCATTGTAAGCTGTTGCTATTATGGATCAAAACATTTAATTCACATTTCTATCATCTGTGCTGTGTGCATCTCATCAGTCATCAAGCAGCACTTAAACTGTCTGCATTTAATCATAGTCATATAAATAAGTTAAACGATCTGCATAGAGCATGTGGGACATCAATATCTTCCTTGGTTTAAAAAAAAAGTTTAATAATGCACGAATATGTTCTGATGGGGATCATCTCATAAATCAGTATGAATAGGAGCAAGCTGTGGTACTGAAAAGTATGATGAATGAATGACTGTCAGTTTTATCATGCAAATTCTAACACAGCTTCATGCATTGACACACACCTTGTAGTCATGCTGCTTCTTTTACAGCATTAAATTACAGTACTCTACATGTTGAAAATAACTCCATAACCCATTGTTCATTGGAAAAAAGTAGTTTAACTTTTAATTTTAGCTCTATTTGACTGTCTCAGCATGACTCGACACTGCCATCTACAGTACACAGTGTATTAAGAAAAACAACATCCATATATTAATCAACAAATATCTTTGACTGAAACAAAAACACTCATAAGAAATATTAACCACTTTAATCAAAGACAGAAACAATGAAATGTCATATTTTGGCCAGAAAAATAAACAACACAAACTTTTATTAAACTAATCACCTTTCCAGGCAGCCTAGGTTACTCTGACTGTTGGTCACGGTGTGTGAGTTTTTAAAAAAAAGTGTGTATTATCAAAGTATCATCAAGACTAAAATGCCTCTTAACACAACAGCCTTAAAAAACAATGGAGCTATTTTAATACTGAATTATTAATTTCATTTACCTTTATTTGTACGGTTTGTGTAGACATTCAGAGTTCAGTCGGTTCATTCAGGGGTCTCTCATTATCGGAATTGATTCCCTGATTACCACCTGAGAGTTCGCTTTTAGGGCTTTTATTATGAAGCGGCTCGAGTTGCCAGTGAAGGCCAGCACAACTTTAGTGAAGGTAACTATATATTTTTTTTTACTAAATTTCTCATATTTAAATTATACTAATACTTTAAATATTTATTTTCAAAGGTTAAAAAATTGTACTTAAATGTGTTTAATTAAAGTACAATTATATTTGTTTTAGCAGTCATGTTTCTTTTTATTATTATTCTTTCTATTTTTTTATTTTCATTAATTTTAAAAATTAAATATCTATCCATCCATCCATCCATTCATTCATCCATACACACACACACACACACACACACACACACACACACACACACACACACACACACATTTATTTATTTATTTTTTCATTGTATATCATACAATGAAAAAGTCACTGTATATCATTGTATATCGTACACCCTTATTAGAACCAATATTTAGTTAAAACTGAGGAAAACAGTAATATAATCATTTTTTATCGTTTCAAACATTTAGACTGACTTTAACCAAAATCCTCACAGAATACAAAATCCTATAATTGTGCTCACATTGCCAGTTTTGAGGTGACAATGTTTTGCTCCAGCTGAGAGTCCCTTCCAAGAAAAATTGCCTTGAAACATAACTTAGTTAATATAACGAATATTTTAAAAAAGATTGGTTTGACAAGGGATTTGTTTTTGTTTCACTACTATTTAATAAACAGTAGTGAGATTTATACCTAACATATTTTTTTTTCTTCTTCAGGGATTTTTGTGTGTGTGTGTGTGTGTGTGTGTGTGTGTGTGTGTGTGTGATTATAATTTGATTATAATATTTATAATTTGATTGTGAAAAACATCTCTTATAAACTGCTTTACTTAATGAAAATTCATCTTTTTTATAACTCAGTCTTAAAGAAAATTGCAAAAAATGTACTAGGTGGTATCAATATCTTAGATATAAAAAAAACTATTACTTCTATATCAGAAAAATGTCTAATTCAAGATGGTTGTTTGCGAAAGCCATTTTAAAATAAAAACAAAATTTTCCTTTACCTTTTATAGATTATATTTGGTCAACAATAAGTTTTTACTCCCAAATAAGGTCAAAGAATTTCATTTAAAAATCCCTGTAATATATTTATTAATAAGTTTCTAAGACATTTCACCACAATGTTTTTTATTTATTTTTTTACTTTTTTAATTTTTATTTTAATTTATTTATCTATTTATTTTTTTTGTAACACTGATCCTCAAAGTTTTTTACATCTGTTTTGTACTTATAAATATTCTGATGATTTTTGGAAACAGGTTTCAGGATTGATTCATTTTACAAAATGAAAAAAAGCTCTACTTTAATTTTTTTGTAAAGATTTTAAAAATATTTTATAATTCTTTGACCTCAATTACAAGTAACAAAAAGTGTTTAAAAAAGTCTAATAATGAAAAAAAACTATAGAATCTAATAATTTAAATATGATGGATTCCCCATATATTTAATTTAGTATGTTTTATGTAATGCATGTTATGCATCACTGAGTAAGTTTTGTATGACTGTTACATATGCTATTACATAATCATATATGTTTGACAGTTATATTAAATACCATTCAATGCATTATGTATTCTAGAGTCTTTGGTTATTTGCAAAAAAAAGAGAGTCGCTTCCAGGACTTTTATTATGAAGCGACTCGAGTTGACAGTGAACGCCAGCACAACTTTAGTGAAGGTAACTCAAATAACATTTTCCTTTGGTGTATGTTTATTCTATTGAATAACCGTTTACAAACTTGAACAATGCTCATTCTGTATAGGCTCAATAAAATATTTATGAATATGTTTACAACAATTTGCGTGAGAGCTCAAATTTAGGCTGTTGTTATCGGAGGCATTGCTAGCAACTCATGCTAGTTTGTATTAGCCGTTTCGTTTTCACATTTCATTTCCTACAATATATGTCACAAAGTTACCCTGGATTACATTATTATCTCATAAAAAATATAAATAATTTAAAATATGACCCTTGAAGAATTCGTTGGTCAAACTAGAGACGTTGTTGACCTCAAACATGTATAAAGTGTTGCTCTCGTCAACCAGATCACACAGTAATCGCTTATGTTTTGTATTGTGTACAATAGTATGTTTCATAGTAAAATAATGTTGCCTGTACTCTTTATACCCAGCTGGTGTGTAGATTGAAGGATGGAGGCCAGCGGCAAACCCTCCACAGCACAGATTGTGTTGCTGGCCACTAGTTCAGCACTGACAGCTGTTCTATACACCATATACAAGAGGAAATCCAGCCATGTTGCGAGATTAAGGGTGAGAAAGCAAGCCTGATGTGTTCATCGTATTGCCAATATCAGTAAAGTGATTAATATTCTGTTTGACAGGAAGCCAAGAAGATGTCATTAAACCCAGAGCTGAAAACTATTCTCAGTGAAGCACCAGGAAAATGTGTTCCCTATGCAGTTATTGAAGGTAGGGCTTTAATTGTGGATATTGTTGTTCCTATTAATATTAAGTAATTATTTGCTCACTAAAGTAGTATTTATTGGGTGTTAATGTTCTAGTAGTTTGATTAATACTGTCTCTGTTTAGGAGTTGTGCGCTCAGTGAAAGAAACCCTGAACAGCCAGTTTGTTGACAACTGTAAAGGGGTCATCCAGAGGTTGACCCTAAACGAGAAGAAGATGGTGTGGAATCGCACAACGAATTTATGGTATATATTCAGAATTTGTGTTTGTGTGATTTTGCTGTATATTTGTATTTGTCTGAAATACTTCACATTAAGTTAATATAATCACATTGAAATATTTGCAAAAGTATGTAAATTAAATATAATTTATCTTCTTTTACACTATCAACTTGTTTAATTAGGTTAACTAGGCAGGTTAGGGTAATTAGGCACGTTATTGTAGAACAATGGTTTGTTGTGTAGATTATTAAAAAAATATTTATAGCTTAAAGGGGCTAATAATTTTGATCTTAGTGTTTTTTATAATTAAATAATGCATTTATTCTAGCTTAAATAAAACAAATAAGACTTATTTAAAAAAAATATTATCAGACATATTGTGGAAATTCCCTTGCTCTGATAAAAGTCATTTGGCAAATATTTAAAAGAGGAAATTCAAAGGGGGGGTGATAATTCTGACTGCAACTGTGTGTGTGTGTGTGTGTGTGTGTGTGTGTGTGTGTGTGTGTATATATATATGATTATAAGTAAATATACAAATAAATAAATTGAGATTCATGTATTGTATTATATAATTGTACTTTATTCAGATATTTTATTCTCTAATAAAGATTTTAATATTTGTTTTATTAGTTTCTACTTTTTAGAAACATTAACCATTCTTGAGTTCGTTCAATTAGATAATACTTCATAATAATAATATACTAAGTATACTTTTTTATCATTATTTACAGGGTGCCCGTGGTGTCTTAAAATCTTAAATTTCAAAAACAAAATTCGGGTCTTCATTTTCATCTGTCTAAGTAAAGCTACCCGATCGGGCTGACATCCATCCAAATCACCAACAATATATCCTTAATAAACCTTTTTTTTTTAAGTTTATGTTTAAGTTTTTTATTGCAAAGAGATACAATTCACAATAGCTGTTAGACTTGTTTTTACAGCAATTTCTCCAAATTAAATTCCCTAACCAGGTAAAGAAATCTAAAATTACATCGTTCCTAATGATAATAACTGAGCAGTATATCCCTTTACATCATCTTCCATTAATACAAAAACTAATTTACAGTAGTATAGGGGAGTAGACATAATATTTTTAAACAGGCATGTAAACACAGAAGTGCATTAGGTTGACTAGTTTTACTAATTATTTGTTGGTTTTTGGTCCAAATTTATTATTTTTGCTTATTTATGTATCTGCCTCCACAGTGAATATACTTTTAATAATGTTAAACTCGTAATTTTATTAGAAAAATAAATATTATGCTCAAAACTGTATACAACTTGTTTTCTTGTTTTGACATATTAAAGTATGTCGCTAAGACAATTACATTTGGTGGCAAAAAAAAAGTAATGATAATTCCACTGACCCAACCGAGCCATTAGAAATAATCATTAATGTTTAGTTCTGCACAGGCATAGGCTGGTATAAGTTTCTGACGGTATGATAACCTTGGATAAAAGTACCACGGTTTCACGATATTGTGATTACTGCTGTAAAATATGTTGTTTTTTTTTAAATGTCTGGGTAAAAAACTACTTTTTTTTTTTCCCCATTGAAGACCGTTTTATTTTAGGAAACATTTATAATACACTGCTCAAAAAATAAAAGTAACTCCAAGGTTCTCTTATTTTTTTTGAGCAGTATATTTTGGAACAGTAAACATGTCAGGCTAAATAATTAAAATAAATCATTGACCTCTGCCATTTTTATTAGTTTCAAAAACACAGATTTCTTTACCACACATCAAAAAACACACACACAAACACATACAAAGAAAACTTACATATACTCTAGGAACAGTAGTATAATAGATTATTTTAGCGGTTTTAAAACCTTGACTTTCTAAATCGTGTAAACCTTGAAACGAGTTATCGCCCCATGTCTAGTCCTGCATAAATCTAAAATTTCCTTCTTAATGGTCTTAAATATGGTCCCTAAATTTGACGTAATGAAACCTTTAGAAACCCTGGATTTAATAGTTAATTATTCTTCATAACCTTATGCACCACCAATATCCTAACATTATAATTTAATACTAAAAGCAATAATTTCTTAACTTATTCTTAGGAATGACTGTGAAAAGGTCATCCACCAGCGCACCAACACCGTTCCCTTTGACCTCGCCCCACACGACGACACTGTACCCACAACAGTCCGAGTGCTCCGTCCCCTTGATGCGGCTGAACTGGATCTAGAGACCACATATGAAAACTTCCACCCTTCCCAGCAGTCTCTGACCAACGTCATTGGCCACTTCATCAGTGGCGAGCGTCCACAGGGCATCCAGGAGACCGAAGAAATGCTACGTTTGGGTGCCAGCATGACTGGTGTAGGGGAACTAGTGCTGGACAACAATCTGGTGCGTCTTCAACCGCCAAAACAGGGCTTGCGGTACTTCCTCAGCCGCCTGGATTATGACACGCTCCTCAGCAAACAAGAGGCTCACTTGAGGATCTGGAGGGTCTTGACGGTGCTTTTTGGATTAACTGCCTGCGCTACATTTTTCTACCTGCTTTGGAGACAGTATGTGCTGCGAAAGGAGCGGAGGAAAGAGCAAAGTGTGCTAGATGAATACCGGAAGTGGCAGAGTAAACGTTTTCAGGAGCTCCACTTGGCGGAGGAGGATGTTTCTCCCACAGCATGCACAATTTGCTTGAATCACAAGCGTTCTTGTGTGTTTTTGGAGTGTGGTCATGTGTGTTCCTGTGAGGGGTGTTATAGGGCCCTGCCTGAACCTAAGAAGTGCCCCATATGCCGGGCGACAATAGATAGAATCGTCTCGCTGTATAACAGTTAAAGGCCTTATTGTGAATATATAGTACTTGAAATGAGGCATAGCATTTCATGCCTTTATCTAGAGCTGTGATGAAAAAAATGGTTCGAGATATCAATTCTGATTCTCCAAATGCATCGCTAAACTCTCTTGAATTGTTCTGAGCTTAGTTTTTTAACAGCAGAGTGTGTTTTAGGCTATTTAATAATAGGCACTGTATCCTTTACAAAAACCCATACTCTTCTGCTTGCATCCAATTCCTAACAAATACCGCCTCAAACTAAAATCATCGTTAATAAAGTAGGAAATGTTTAAGCAACTTACAAAGGTTTTCATAGTGAGCTGTGTTTACATTAATTTTGTGACATGCAGTAAGTCAACTTACACAGTTCACCCCAATGCACACTCTTCCTCATGAGAATTGTAAAAGTGTACAATTAAATAATAAACATAGAGCACCATCTGCTGTAATAAACTATCCTAGAGTGTGGTCTGCTGTTAAAAACTGACCAAGAGCACTGTTTGTTGTTGAAAACTAGCCCAGAGATGTGTCTGATTGAAAAAACTAGCCTGGAGTCTGCTGTTAAAAAGTAACCTAGAATGCTTTATGTTTGAAAATACTAGCGTATAGCACAGTCTTTAAAAAAACTAGCCTAGAGCGCCATCTCCTGTTAAAAACTAGCCTAGAGCAGTGTCTTGCAAAATATAGCCTAGAGTGCACAAACTGCTGTTAAAAACTAGCCTAGGGAACCATCTACTTTTAACTAATGTCGACTGCCGTCTGTTAAAAAACAGTCTACATTGCCATCTGCTGTTAAATACTTGTCTAGAGCGCCCTCTGTTAATATAAACTAGCCTAGAGCAACGTTCTGAAAATACTACCCTAGAGTGCAGTCTGCTTTTAAAAACTATTCTAGCCTAGAGTGTTAGCTCAGTTAACAGTTTAACAGTTAGCTGTTAAATACTAGCCTAAAGCACAAAATTTTCCCTAAAATAATTAGTTTACTGCACAGTCTGCTGTTAAATACTACCCTAGAGCACCATCTGCTGGTAAAAAACTAGCCTAGAGCACCATTGGTTGTTAAAAATTAGCTTAGAACGCCATCTGCGCCATCTGCTGTTAAAATCTAGCGTAAAGCGTCATCTGCTGTAAAAAACTAGCCTAGAGTGCCATTTGTCAAAAACTAGCCTGTTAAAAAAACTACCTTGGAGCTCTGTTTGCAGTCAAAAAACTAGCCTAGAGTGCTGTTTTTGGATAAAAGCTAGCCTAGAACATTGTCTGTGGTTAAAAGCTAGCCTAGAGCGTCATCTGCTGTTATAAACTAGCCATGAGCAGCGTCTTGAAAATAATAGCCTAGCACAATCTGCTTTTAAAACTAGCCAAGTCTGGATCTCTGTTAGCTGTTAAAAACTAGTATAGAGTGGCATCTGCTTGAAAAAAAACTAGCCTAGAGCGTCGCCTGCTATTAAAAACTAGCCTAGAGCACCATAGGTTGTTAAAAACTAGCCTAGAGCGCCGTCTACTGTTAAAAACTAGTGTAAAGCATTATCTGCTGCTAAATACTAGCCTAGAGCACCATCTGCTGTTAAAAACTAGCCTAGAGCACCATCTGCTGTTAAAAACTAGTCTAGAGCACCATCTGCTGTTCAAAACTAGCCTAGAGCACCATCTGCTGTTAAAAACTAGCGCAAAGCATCATCTGCTGTTAAAAAGTAGCCTAGAGCACCATCTGTTGTTTAAAACTAGCATAGAGCGCCATCTGCTGTCAAATACTAGCCTAGAGCACCATCTGTTGTTAAACTAGCCTAGTTGTTAAAAACTAGCCTAGGGCATTTCTTGCTGTTAAAAACTAGCCTAATGCGCCATCTCTTAAAAACTACCCTAGAGCGATATCTGTTTTTAAAGACTAATCTAGAGTGCTGTCTGTGGTTTAAAAACTAGCATACAGTGCATTTTCTGTTAAGAGCTAGCCTAGAGCACAGTCTGCGGTTAAAAACTAGCCTAGAACACCATCTGCTGTTATAAACTAGCCTAGTGAGGCATCTAGAAAAAACAAGCCTATAGTACCATTTGCTTTTAAAAACTAGCCTAGAGCATCGTTAGCAGTTAAAAACTAGCTTAAAGTGCCATCTGCTTTGAAAAACTGGCCTAGCCTAAAGTGCAGTCTGCTGTTAAAAACTAAGATCAGATTCGATTCGAGAGAATACCGTTTGCATTAAGTAAATCTCAGAATTTTTTTTACGAATTTTTTTTTTCTTTTTTTTTTGGCCACAGCTCTAGAAATGTCAAAAGATGTATGAATCTGCTATAATCCAAATAATATTAAGCAGGACAAAAAAAAAAAAAAATATATATATATATATATATATTCTTCCAGATTGAGTTTGTTCTTGTGTTGCAATGATTGATTTGGGAACGGTTGGGAATAGAAATCACTCGTGCCTGCGTGAGCTGAAATTTAATGCTGTTTGCTATTTTCAAATAAAATTAAAAAGAATTCAGAAAATGGCTTCTTATCATTTAATAAAATACTTAAATATTATTTGTCATTTTAAAGCTTTATACTTTCTCACCATGCTTCAAATCACTAGGTTTTTTCCATTTGCCAGCAATAATCTGAAGTCAAAATAGCAGCAACTCAATGCATTTAGGCATGTAGACATGGTCAAGACAATGTGCTGCAGCTCAGACTGAGCATCAGAATGGGGAAGAAAGGTAATTTAAATGGCTTTGAACGTGGCATGGTTGTTGGTGCCAGACGGGCTGGTCTGAGTGTTTCAGGAACTGTCGATCTACTAGGATATAAACAAACTGCATAGTTGCAATCTAAACAACTACATTCTCGCCTCAAAAGTACATTATGTTGTCCGACAGCAGCAGTATTTGTCTAACTGTAGTTAGTCTATGGTCTCTCTCTCTCTCTCTCTCTCTCTCTCTCTCTCTCTCTCTCTCTCTCTCTATATATATATATATATATATATATATATATATATATATATATATATATATAGTTTCATGACACTTTATATTATATGCCATTATATTTCTTAAATTTTTTTCGTGTTTACTCACAATATAAACTAAACATATTTGCCTTTTTTTGTAGATTATTTTTGTCTTTCCTATTTGTTATTGCCATGTGGTTTTATTTAATATTGATATAATATTTTAAATGTTTCTTGTAAAGAATTTTCTTTTTTATTTTTGTAATCCCAACTATTCAATATCACAAGTCTATATTGCAATTAAAAATGTTATATATTAATTTTATGCATATTTAAAGAATATTGTAGATGTGTATTAATTTAGTTTTTCTAGTTTAACTGTAAACAGTATTACTGTGCCTGACCAGTAGATGGAGATAAATACCAGTCTATCTTCATTACAGTCTGAGAATCTCTATAGATTGGTTAGGTATTCTTATAAAAATTTAATAATTTATCACTTATAGAGCCAGAAACCCTACAGATACACTAACATAACATCTTCGACCATTAAAGACATTTTTTCTAGTTTGACTGACTAATGCACATAGAAAATCACTAACATAAACAGATCAGTAAAAATATTACTTGGAACAACAACCTGTGAAATTTAGAATGGCACAATAGCGGTGAAGAATCCATATTTTTATTGTAAAATATTGTTTAGAAAAATGTTTAAACATCTAAACATATTGTAAATTTACATTATGGTACAGCAAAGTATAGTGTTTAGTATGGTTTTGGATGGAAGCTGTTCATGAATTGTGTTTTGATAGATCTGTAAAGCAGTACAGGACAGTATTTGAGCTACTTAATTCTTCATTTATTCATTTATTCATTCATTCATTTACCTTCGGCTTAGTCCCTTGTTTATCAGGGGTCGCCACAGCGGAATGAACTACCAACTATTCCAGCATATGTTTTACGCAGCGAATGCAACCTAGAAGAGGTAAACGCAATCTAATTAGAAAAGAACAACCGTGATGGCGAATTTCTCCTTGTGGGATCTGGGATTAGAACCACTGATAATTATAAAATTGTTATTGATTAGTGATTAGAACCAACAAACTAACCCGCATCACATATTTTGTTAATTGAATTGGTCAGGTAAAAGTAATACTTGAATAACCTGTAACATTAAGAAAGACACTACAGTGAATGAATTTTCCCCTGTAGGATTTAAACCTAAAACCTAATCCACTTATTTGCAAACTGTTGCTTTCAAGGCAACTGGTTTACTCACTTTAAGTAAAATATCACTTATAAAAGTTTACTTAAGAATATGCATTTAGAAAATGTCTTAGAAAGGAAAAGCATTGATTTAAATGTACAGTATGATGTGAATTTACAGCATAGTGTTTAGTGGTTACAGCTTTCAGATCAAAAGTGTTCATGAAATGTGCTTTGACAGACCGGTGTAACGCACTACAGCACAGTAACTACTTGAGCAACTTATGTAAATCAGAATGTCACCATAGTGATAATGAATTTCCTCTTGTGGGATTAGAACCGCTGATCTATATTTCAATTATTATTATAGATCAGTGATTAGAAGCTACAACCTAACCCACGTCACCTATTTTGTGAAGGGAGGTGCTCGGGTAACTATTACTTGAACAACATGTAAAATTTAGAATGGCTCAACAGTGATAATGAATTCCCTCTGTGGGATTAGATCCTAAAACCTAATCCACTCACCTATTTGCAAACTGTCGCTTTCAAGGCAAGAGGTTTACTCACTTTAAGGATCACTTATAACAGTTTACTTAAAAATATGCAGAAAAATCTTTTGTAAAATATTGTTTCGAAAAGGTATTAGAAAGAAAAAGCATTGACTTAATGTACAGTATGTAAATTTACAGCATCGTGTTCAGAATTAACCTCTGTGAAGTTGGCACCCCATTAAAAAAAAAAAATAAAATTCCCAAACCTTTGGCATTCGTTTGTGCCGCAAAAACTAATGTTTATACTGGTTTGGGGTCTGAGATATTAAGCATTATTTTTTTGACCGTGTGACGTCAATTTCCACCCCAGTGATGGCGAATTTACTTTGACCAAAGAGAGTGATGGGGTGCTGCGCCAGATGACCTGGACTCCAGTCACCAAACCTAAACCCAATGGAAATGGTTTGGGGAGAGCTGAGCTGCAGAGTGAATGCAAAAGGGCCAACAAGTGCTAAGCATCTCTGGGAACTCCTTCAAGACTGTTGAAAGACCATTTCAGGTGACTACCTCTTGAAGCTCATCAAGAGAATGCCAAGAGTGAGCAAAGCAGTAATCAACAAAGCAAAAGGTGGCTACTTTGAAGAACCTAAAATATGACATAGTTTCAGTTGTTTTACCCTTTTTTTATGTTCATAATTCCACATGTGTTAATTCATAGTTTTGATGCCTTCAGTGTGAATCTACAATTTTTTATAGTCATGAAAATAAAGAAAAAACTGAGTGAGAAGATGTGTCCAAACTTAAACAAACATAAAATGGGAATGGTTGGTGATATTAACGTCCTGTTTGTGGCACATTGGTATATGTGAGGGGGCAAACTTTTCAAGATGGGTGGTGGCCATTTTGAAGTCGGCCATCTTGGATCCAACTTTTGTTTTTTCAATAGGAGGAGGGTCATTTGACGCATTAAAGCAGGGGTGTCAAACTCAATTCCTGGATGGCCGAAGCCCTGCACAGTTTAGTTCCAACCCTGCTCCAACACACTTACCTGTAGGTTTCAAACAAGCCTGAAAGACTCAATTAGTTTGATCAGGTGTGTTTAATTAGGGTTGGAACTAAACTGTGCAGAGCTGCGGCCCTTTTGGAACTGAGTTTGACACCTGTGCATTAAAGTCTTTGGGAATTTCACAAGATAAGCCGACAAGAAAATTTATGAATGAAACAATGGTGTGTTTAAACAATGGTTTTAACTTTATTCATTCATGAGTTATTTACAAGTTTCTGACTACTTATAAAATGTGTTTAATGTGCTGCCCATTGTGTAGGATCGTCAATGCAAGCCTCTTCTCCCACTCTTTAGACACTGATAGCAACACCGCAGGAGAAATGCCAGCACAGGCTTCCAGTATCCGTAGTTTCAGGTGCTGCACATATATACATTTCTGTTTCAGTTTTTGTAAATCATCCATTTTTCAATGTTTCAAATTCATTACTAGTTTTATTGTTATTTTTATTTATTAGTTATGTAATTTAAGTGTGTGTGTGTGTGTGTGTGTGTGTGTGTGTGTGTGTGTGTGTGTGTGTGTGTGTGTGTGTGTGTGCTTGTGTAGATAGTTCATTTCTGTGCTGTTGGCTGCATTGATTGTTTTTGTATAGTTGGGGAGGGGGTCAAATATATTTTGAAAAGAAAAAGTGATGGCGAATTTCCCCTCGAGATTAGGACCACTGATCTACAATTGAACAGTTCAGATGCAAAAACATGTCTAAGTGCCATCTGACGTTTTTCTCTAATATTTTTTTTTCTCAGCCTCTTATGTTGGTTTGTTCCATTATTTCACTCTAAAGGCAGTAAAAATAACATTCTTTTCACTAAAAGTAAAAATGACTGAAACTACACACAACAGCATGAGAAATATGCTAATTTAAATGAACATTTTAGGTGGAACTTAGAGATTTTTGCATCTAAACTCTTCAATTATAAAATTATTATCAGGGATTATAACCTACAACCTAGAATTGGTCAAGTAAGCTGCAGGTAGACTAATAAAACTAAAATAAAAATGTTAAAATAAAATATAATATTGAGACAGCTGGCTAGATCAACTCTAAACTCATTTAAGCCCATCTCTTCCACCTCTAAACCACAAATCCCAAAGAATGTGACCAGATTCTAGGTGCCACCGCCGGTGGAAAGTCACGAATCAACCCAAGTGGGACTCAAACCCACATCCTCCCGGAGCTGTTGAGCTCCTCCAGCAGAGCAGGCAGAGGCTGAAGCTGAGGGCGGGGGATGGAGCTCCTGCAGGCGGCACGAGCACAGCCTGAGTGACGTCTCTCTGCTCTCTCAGGATCCGCGCGTGTCTCTGTGTGTGAATGTGTTTTTGCATCGCGCTCCTGTTTTGCATCTACATCAGTTTTTCCGAGTGCTCGTAACAACGAAAAGTGACGGAGACTAAAACACGGCTGCTGATCTGATCGTGACCGCGCTCGCTTTTAGACTCTCTAGCTCGTTAATTATCGCTTGTTTTCTCAGTCGTGAGCGATTATTACTGCCAGCGGGATCATGTCAGAAGTGCTGCCGTACGAGGAGAGCATCTCTCATTACGGTGCAGATGGAGACGAGGAGCAGATTTCCCTCACCTGTCGCCTGCAGAACAACAGCAGCAACTTCTACAGTTCTGCGCAGAACAAACGAGCTCCGAAACTCGGACAGATCGGGCGCAGCAAGAGAGGTGAGGGGGAAAACACACACTTATTACAGATGACTCAAGAACAAAAGTAGGTTTTCCAGTCATTATTAATAATGTGATGTGAGCGGCCTAAAATTTAGCTAATTAGTGTGTGTGGTTCGGTGCATTATAAATATGCAAATTTATCGCATCACGTGATGATGTCAGCGTCACGCGTTTGCATTTAATTTACTTGCTCTCTTGTGAGTTTATAATGAGGTAATGAAAGTTTTTTTTGGTTTGTTTTTTCCAAGATATGTTTAATTGAGAATTTTTTTATTATTATTATTATTGGTATTATTATTATTATTATTATTATTATTAATATATTTACATAGACTATAAAAGTGTACACACGCATTAACTTGCCAATAATAGCCTACTTTTTTTTATTATTTATTTTTTTTAGCTATTTCTGTGCGGAATTGGTGGTACAGTCAAAAATAATTCAGCAACTATCCATATACTGTATACACAGAAAATTTGCTGAATGATTTGACAAAGGCATTTTGAAAGTGATTTACAATGCAAATCCAATTTGAACCTTTTGTTTGGTAAGACAGTAGTACATAGTAGTACAGTACAAATTGTACCGCACACAAATCATCTGAACATCTAAACATTTGCATATTTTTCAATAATATAACTGAAATTAATGAAAACAAATTGAAAAATATATTTAAACACACAAGTAAATAAATTGTTTAACAGACACTCAACATTATAAGATGTTAATATTAGGTTAGTTTTAGGTTTAGCATCTAAAGACAACGTTATTTTGACGTCTAATAATGACATGAAATGATAACGATATTGGGTTGATTTTATTTTGTGTTGGAAAGTGACCAAAATCCAGCGTCGAGCCAACATCTTAAACCAACATCATTTCAAAGTCATATTCTGTCATTTATTCGTCAGGTATGGCAGCAAAAATCCAACATTTAATAGACGTCATATTGGTAATGTCCATACAAAGTCAAGCTTTAACATATTAGATGTTGATATTTGGTTGATTTTAGGTTGAGTTGCAAAGTAACCAAAATGCAACATGTCCGATGTTGGACATTGATGTCGGCTTGACGTTGAGTTCTGACGTCAACCCCATTTTAATTTCCAAGCAAAATGCAATGTCCCATGACGTTGAGGTACAACATCAATTTGACGTCATGTTGACAGCCTGGGCTTTCTGGGGGACTTGTCAATGGGTTCAACAAAAAAATAAAAATAAATAAATAAATAAAAATCAATGGAAGCTTGCGAGTTTTCTGCATATTTTTGTGTTTGCAGTTTTCATGTAGGCCTACTTAAAGTCTAAACCTTTTCAACTCAGTCCCTTTATTAATATGGGGTCATCACAGTGGAATGAACCGCCAACTTATTCAGCATATGTTTTACGCAGCGGATGCCCTTTTAGCTGCAACCCATCAATAGGAAATATCCATACACTCATTCACACACATACACTACGGACAATACCCAATTCACCTTTATCACGTCTTTGGATATGTGGGGGAAACCAGAGCACCCCGAGAAAACCCACACCAACACGGGGAGAACATGCAAATTCCACATAGAAACACAACTGACCCAGCCGAGGCTCGAACCAGCGACCTTCTTGCTGTGAGGCAAAAACGCCACCGTGCTGCCCTACACATGCATTCATTATCTGATAAATTACAAGCAGGCAGATAAATGCAAATGCTCTACGCTCTGGCGTATAAATAAACACAGCACACAAACAGTACACAATAGCGACACACAAATAAGGTTTAACAAAAATCAGGTCAAATATTAATAAAGTTGGGTTTAAAAAAGTCTAATGGGTTAGTCCTATGGATGGGCGATTTGGCCTAAACTCAAAATCTCGGGTAATTGAATATTTTAACTTGATTATGATTAATAAACAATTATTTTATTTATTGTTTCTAATTTTTTTGCCCTCATACATATTAGTTGATTGACAAGTGTTGTACAGTAAATATGCTCTCATATTACAAGTGAGAGATTTCTGAATGAAGGGTGCATTACTTGATCTTAAAATAATTGAAGTAAACACACACAGTCTAGTATCTACAGTATGATTGTGTATTGAGCATCAACATTGATCCACTGAAATTAAATCACACATTGCCTAAAACCAAGTCTAGTTTTTTCTTATAAAAAAAAGTGAAAATAACTTGCTCTTTTGGAAACAAAATAAATTATTTTCAATGTTTTAAAAAGTAGAAAGTAAGCAGTATCTCTTCTAAATAAAATAACTCTTGCAAATCCTGGAAAAAATATTTCAAACAGTGCATTTCTTGAATTTTCTGTAAAAAAAAAATTATTTTAATGGAATTAATAATTTTGGTGTAATAGAAAATATGCCGTCTTAAGGCATCTCTGGCGCAGCATCCAATCATCGTCAATGTAGTGCAAACTTGCGACATAGTTACATTTTTCAAGAAGTTCGCAACCATTTTAAGGCTGCGCTGGTCCCTTACCCGTATGTTCGACTTAGAAGTATAAATCAGCCTTAACAGTGCCGGGTCACATGACTCCACATGCGGTAGGGAAAGCAATTGAAAAAATTGATCTTGAAAAATTAGTTTGATTATATAAATGTCAATCTCGATTACTTTGATTAATCGCCCGGCCCTAATTTGTCTTCCATATTTGCCCCAACACTAGGTAAAATATTCTGCCTTTGTTTTACAATGCAGCATTACAGAATTCTTAACAGTATCCTATTTAGCCCACATTTAAAGTATATTACTTTCTATGCCAAAAAAAAATCTATTTAATATTTAATCCATTAATAATAATAATAAACGGAAATGTTTCTAGGGGACCCAAAAACATGACGGACCCTGTTGAGATTTGTGTTATTATCATAGATATGTGCTATTATGGATTATGTAATATCCTGATAACATGAAAGTAAAGGAAAAACAACTCACCTTTCAAAGACCACCAATCACTTCACTGAGCAACAGTCACGGCATAACACATCATATCTCAGCAGGGTCCGTCATGTTTTTGGGTCGCCTAGAAACATTTCCATTGTGTTACGTGGATATTTGCAGGTTTTGTGACCGATTTGCTGCTCATTTCTTCAGTCGTTTGTGTTGTGACCAATTTGCAACACGTGTGCTGTGCTGTCAAATTAATGAAGATCGTTTCTTTATTGGCTGGTGTTTTTTGTAATTGCATGTGCTTTCTTTAATTGCATTGCGTTAAGCTCTCTCGGCCGCCGTATTATTTACCTCATATCCCACAAACCCTACTGCTGTCAATAAAGCGATGTCATGTCCTCAAGGATGTTTGACCTAACTGGCTCTTTTGCGATTTCTCTTTCAGTTGTCATAGAGGACGACAGAATTGACGAAGTCCTGAACAACACAGCGGAGAAGTCATCGGCGGGAGTGTAACGCTCAAGGACACTGTTAAAGCGTCAGGAAATCGTGGGTTCTGTGCATTCTGCATTGAAAGCACTTTGCAGTCCTGCTTAGCATGGGTTGAATTTCACGATGCGGCAGCAGGCGAGGACCAGCCCAAAACAAAGAGGGAGTCCGTGCTGCTTTACATCTTTCTTTAAGGGCATGATTCATATCCCTACCTATAAAGCGACATCTTAACGCTGGACATAGAGTCCTTTGTTGTTTACTACATGTGGAGTTGGTCTGTAGTGGTTCAGATTCAGTTTATATTGTGCCAGGAATGCTTTGATATCACAAGCACACAAATGTTTTTTTTAATGTCTTTAGTTTGCACTTGGTTCCTAGGAATCAAATTGTGTGCTCAATTTAAGTGTTTTTTTCTACTTTAAATATACTTTTATTTTGTAAAAACGATAGACAGATCTTTTTTAAACAGGATGAGAAAGGAAAGACTACTTTTTTAAAATACTTATGGTTTTCCATGTTACACATTGTGTTTTTTTTTTCGATGTGGCCTGCAAACTGCCTGCTTAGCTTGAATTTGAAAGCTTATTTTTACATCAAGCAGCGATTCCCGAAAGGGAAAACAAAAGCTGCTAATTTGTGTAATAGTCGAAGCACTGTCAGCTAAATGGATTTTGATCACTCGTGTGCCAAAATATGCCTGTCGACGTTTGTTTCTGTTCCCAAGTAATGTGAAGTTTTCCAGACCTGCCTCTTCTATGTGTTTCAGGGCTTTTTTCGGTAACACCTTATAATATCTACACACTATTAATCATTTATTGTGCATTAGCAAATAGTTAATTCATCATTTGTTAAGTATTAGCTCTACATTATCAGATGTTAGTATAAGCAGTTTAAAACTACAGATACAAATGCTGTATTCTTGATTTATAAGCACTTGTATAGTGTGCTTAATGATTGTGTTTTCATACTTTGTGAATTATTAATTTTCATTACTAAATTAAGCATCACATTATTTACAAACTAGTTATTTAGAAATAGTTGGTGTGTTTTTTAAATCATTCAGAATAATATATTTAATAACAGATTAATAAATTATTATGATTAATACATCTTATTATTCAGGCATGTACTAATAGTTAATTTGTATATTTTCTAATGCTTTATTAAATCAACTTCATCCAGTTTTGTGACCTAAAGTGACCAATAGTATCTGGATGCAGCCTTTATAATGCAAGCTGAGACTGCATCAGTGAGTGAGTGAGTGATGTCACTGTGAAGGGTAGAGTTAGGGGTGGGGTTAGGTGAGCGCATTAAAAAGCATTGGATGCAGCTCAGATTGCACTGCACCAGTGCAGCCAGACCCCTGTCAAAGTGATGACTATTTATGCTTTGTAAATCCCTTATAAACTACAATTAAAGGCTCCAGTTATATTCTAAACAGGAAAAAAGTAAATAATTGACTTTATTCATTTCTATTCATTTATATATGTATAATGTTGGAATATTTAATCAATTCTATGGGATGTCAATAAAAAAGGTCAGGAGAGTAAATATTAGTAATTTATTGGATACAAGTGAATAATTCGACTCTCAGTAGCCTCTATGAAATGCAAGAATTACATTCAGGAGGTGCGCAACAACTTTCATTTCCTGATTCGAGCTTTTATACATGCTGATATTATAGGTCGAGTTTAGTAAAATTAGTCACTTGTCAATTATTCTCCAGTCCTCTATTGGCCGCACCCATACATACATCCTCTTTTTCTATGAATTCTCTGCACAACATTAAAAGCATAAGACTTTCTGAACTACATATATTCTGTGTTCAGTTTCAACAATCAGGACAAACAGGCCTTGGCATTTCTAACAGCTTCATCTACTTCTGCAAAAATGCTTCATTAGTATGCAAGGCATATCACACAGTAAAAGTTCAGTTAATATGTCACCTTTAAGCAATACAAATACAATTGTCTAATGAAAGAAAAAAGAGACCAAAAAAAAAATCATTTTCACAACAGTTACACGGGCGACACAGTGGCACAGTAGGTAGTGCTGTCGCCTCACAGCAAGAAGGTTGGAGTTTGCATGTGTGGAGTTTGCATGTTCTCCCTGCGTTTGCGTGGGTTTCCTCAGGGTGCTCCAGTGTACCCCACAGTCCAAAGATATGCGGTACAGGTGAATTGGGTAGGCTAAATAGTCCATAGTGTATTAGTGTATGAGTGTGTGTGTGTGGATGTTTCCCAGAAATGGGTTGCAGCTGGAAGGGCATCCGCTGCGTAAAAACGTGCTGGATAAGTTGGCAGTTCATTCCGCTGTGGTGACTCCGGATTAATAAAGGGACTAAGCCGACGAGAAAATGAATGAATGAATGACAACAGTTACACAAATTAAACGGTTTCAAATGAAAATCTTTGCAATCTTATCTAAAATAAAATTACAGTATGTTTAAACATTGCTAAATAACATTGAAATGTTGTATGATAATATATTGTTGAATTATTATTATATTGTTGTTGTTGTTTTATCCAATTTTACTTAATTGCACTTATTTCTAATTGAATGTTGACACTACTCTTATCCAGCAATGTTTAAAGTTTACAGTAATTTTATTTTTTAAATAAGATTGCAACATTTGTTCACTTGATACTGAGCCTTTAATTGTCATTTATAAGGGATTTATAAAGCATAAACAGTTCTCAGATTAGATCACAAAACCGCACAAAGTTGAGTTAATGAAGCATTTATTAACATACATGGTAACCATTACTACAGTATATGCCTGAACAATGCAATTTATGAATGTTTATTTGAATAGTTTATTAATCATTTACTAACTCAATCTAAATGATTTAAAAGCCACCAGCTACTCTTAAATACTAATGGTTTGTAAATAATGCAATACTAAATTTAGTAATGAACAATTAATAAGTAATAAAGTATGAAAACAATTATTAAGAACATTATAAATGTTTTTATTGGTCAAGAATAGAGTATTTGTAGCTGTATTTATAAGTGGTTTACTAACGTCTATTAAATGTACAGTTAATACTTAACAGACAATGAATTCAATATTTGCTAATGCTTAACAGATGATTTATAGTGTGTAGTTACCACTGCTTCTTTTTGCATGAGATGAGCACAAACACATTTTCCTGTGGTGGTGAATTACAAAAAAATATATGTACAGTAATGCTACCTTGAATGACAAACCTCAGACTCTTTACTATTGTATATGTTGCACTTGTTACTGCTGTTTAACAGGGCTATATTTGCTAAGAAATGTATGATTAATAAAATGTAATGATTTAACAATATAAAAAGGTGCCACATTTATGAAACAACTTTTTATATATATAAAAACAGGCCTGTCAGCATATAATAATCATCTGCACTTTGGATAATAAATAATGGATATTTAACCTAAAGATTGCATTTTGCTTAAAATGGTGAAGTTTATTCATAAACTTATTTCGAGAGGATCATGTGATTATGATTGAACACAGCTGGTTCTGCATCAACTATGTATGATCCACCAATCCGACGATTCCTAACCCACTATAAAGAGCCAGGGTTTCTCACTACAGTCATCTTCGATTTAAAGAATCCCCCCTTCCACCCCTACTCCCCCACCTTTCCCTTTATGGGGTGGCACGGTGGCCCAGTGATTAACAGTCGCCTCACAGCAAGAACGTCACCGGTTCTAGTCCTTTAACAGGCCGGCTGTCGTTTCTGTGCGAAGATAGCATGTTCTTCCCGTTCTCGCGTAGGTTTTCCCCGAGTTCTCCGGTTTCCTTCTACATTCCAAAAACATGCACTACAAGTGAATTGATCAATCTAAATTTAGCACTACAGTCAAACTCTCATCCAGCAGCATATCTCTTCATAGCAGTTATTTTCTGTAATCAGCTCTTATCAAAAAAGGGGGAGATCTTGAGACCTACCTGAGCTCAAAGCTCCCCTCTTGCCCTGCAAACGGGAAGGAGCCCAGGGCTCAAGAACCTTTTAAGCTCAGGGCTCTCTCCCGGGATGGCATGCCAAACTTGCTCATAATCAATCATCAGCTAAGTGTGAACTACTGTAAAGGTCTATTTTCCTTCACTCTAAACAAATGCTGATTATTTCAACCCAATTCTGAGTGTAATCGGGTATATCCCAACTTCTGTGTTATTTTTTTATTAATAGGATCAACCCAGTGTTTGGGTTAGTCCATTTTTTATTCAATATTTGTTTTCAATTCAATTCATCTTTATTTCTATAGCGCTTTTACAATGTAGATTGTGTCAAAGCAGCTTAACGTAGAAGTTCTAGTAGATGTGATGCTCTAGTAACTGTGTCAGTCCAGTTTACAGAGTTGAAGTTCAGTTTAGTTCAGTTCAGTTCAGTGTAGTTTAAATTTCACTGCTGAAAGTCCAAACACTGAAGAGCAAAAGTATATGAATAACCCAATCTGGAATTAAATAACACAGCATCCTTTATGAGTGTTCAAGCTAGAAAGTTGTTGGTAGCAATGGGAAATAGTTCGTCAGAAAATGTGTTAACATTCACTACTCACAAAATTGTGTGTAATAAAAGCATATTTCCCTAAAAGTGTAAAGTAACATGGTCATTTGCAATAAAAGTGAAAACTTTGCACTGAAATGGATGCTATAATGCATTAATTGCATCCAAAAACACTTGCGGTAGGTGTCACATTTATTGTAAAATGCATTTCATTCATTCATTTTCCTTCGGCTTAGTCCCTTTATTCATCAGGCATCACCACAGCAGAACGAATCATCAACTTATCCAGCATACAGTACGTTTTACACAGTGGATGGCCTTCCAGCAGCAACTCAATACTGGGAAACACCCATACACACTTATTTACACACATACACCACGGCCAATTTAGCTTATTCAATTCACCTATAGCACATTTCTTTGGACTGTAGGGAAAACCGGAGCACCCAGAGGAAACCCATGCCAACACAGGGAGAGCATGCAAACTCCAGAAACGCCAACTGACCCAGCCGGGACTAAAACCAGTGACCTTCTTGCTGTGAGGTGACAGTGATAACCATTGAGCCACCGTCCAGCCCTCTAAAATGAATTTCATACCAGTAAAATACCTTCTACATTGTATGAATGTGTGCAGTTTGAATGAAATCTGGATGTCTTGTTTTTGGCATGCGTCCTGCATGTAGAGTTTCAAAAGCAAGAACTCCATACGTTTCACTATAGAGCTTTTTTTATTAACAATAATAGTTGTAATATAATAATAATAATAATAGACTATATTTGCTTATGCTAAATCCATTTGTTCACCTATACTGACTCCCAGGGCCATTTATATCGA